TAGGGGACTCTTAAGAGTCTTCTCCAGAACCACAGTTCAAAGGCATCAATTCTTCTCAGTTTGTTATACTCTTAATTAAAGTCAGATTCCATTCATTGGATATAATGAAACTTGTAGAATGTCTTAATGTGTAATCAGATTAAATATTTTATGGAGCATTCAAATCTAAGCTATACATTAAAATCTGAAAGCTAATGTGAATTCATGAACCTCCTCTCAGTTTCACTTATAGCACTTTCAGCAATTCTCTGAAGAGATTATTTAGATTCATTAAAAAGAAATTTTCTTAAAAGCTGCAACGCACATTCTCTATTAGATTTAAATCAGAAAGGTTTGCCTAGTTTGCCCTCCAAACATACTAGTAAAAGTGAACAAATTCTAAAAGTCAGAGGTCATACATAATCATGGATCTCTTCCAACAGACTCTTGAAAAAGAAAAAATAAGAACCTATCCTGTCATTTCTTTCCCTTACCAAATGATTGCAGAAGAAACTGTGCCTTGCTCCAAAGCTGTTTACCATTTGCTAAGGAATTTATGTTACTTTTTTCTTTCCTTGAATGAGAGAAAACCAGACTCCTAGAAGTCTTCTGGAATATACAGAGCAGTTTGGAGAGAAGTAGGAATTTCTTATGTTGTGCAGCAAATTGGACTTGGGGTGGGGGGAAGCAGCAGGAAAGATTCACACTGCTTCCTGCCTTATTTTTACACTGAAACGAAAGACAACTTTGCTTCCCTTTAAAGCTTTCTGCACATCCTACAGACTTGGTGAAGCTGGAATGAGGGCAAACAATATTTCTGAAGCCTTTAAAATGCATGCTAACATTACAAATCATTAACAGACATTAAATTTTAATCTACTACAGATATAATTTATTCCAGCAAATGGAATGCATAGGTTTTACCACCAACACCACACAAAAAAAATTGTTTCACTAGTCATATACAAGGATACTGCCACTCCACCAATCTAGCTGAATAAGTTGTTGTTTAGCTCCTCTCCTCCCTGAATTATTTCTATTCAAACTGATCACTTTAGGAACCTTTAAACTGGTGCTGTTGCTTGTTTCTTTTTATTTCACCATCTTTTTCTTATATCTTTTTGTTTACAAGTCTTACTCTTTAACTGTATACAGTGTGCAGACTAATATATATTCAGTCAAAGCAATAACTGATCCAACATATTTATTTGAAAACTAAGTATCTAAGCATCCCAAAGTCTCTTTTTCCCCCAATGGAAACCAAGTGTTTGCTATCTGGTTGTTTGTAGAATGACAAATATTCAAGATCAGAGGACTGACCAAGTTAGTTAAAAGAGCATAAAATAAGAACACAAAAACTTTATGCGGGTAGCAAGCCTGGGGCTTTCCCAAGGCTGTCTAACTGTAACTTTAATCATCTCTATATAAAGCTGCTAGGAGTTACAATCTGGCAACACCTGATCTAGATCAATATACAGCATCTCCTAAAGACAGTGAAAAGATTTCAATCAGTTCAGTGAATTTGCACTGTTTCTCTCTCCTCCCTGCATACAAGATATATATTCCCCATATCCTGGCAAGCCACAGTGGTAGTATCTTACTATGAAGTCAGTGACAATTCTTTGCTTTTCTTTCCAATTCTTCAAACAAAAACAATAGATCACTCACCACATGGATCAGAATATATGGGGACCAACATTCCTTCTCATTTCTGACATGCCGTGTGTGGAGAAATAAGTTTTATGCAGCTTTTCCCCAAACAAGTGCCAATGTGTGCACCACAACACAAGTATATGGGTAAATTGCAAATGCATATGATAGTGACATTTATTCAATTTGTATGGCTGCCCATCTGAACAAGTGACATGTTAAAATGCTTACGTATTTCTTAAAGTATAGAAATTAGAAAGTATAATTGTATGCCACATGCTTAAAAGCTGTGGATTTAAGTCATTTTTTACTTCTGGCAACTGCCCCCTACAGTTTCCCTGATAATGTTTTTAGGAAGTGGCTTGCAAGTTCCTTCTTCCTATGGCTGAGAGAAGTGACTGGCTCAAGGCCTGCCAGCTGGCTTTGTGCCTATGACGGAACTGGAACTCACTGTCTCTTGTTCTAGTCTGACGCCTTAGCCACTATACCAAATTGGCTCTATGCATATACACTTAGAGATCATAATATAAACTTGCTAGTCATTGATAACTGATAGTTGCAATCAATGTTTTGTAAGCATTTACTCTGGGGGAGAGGGTGGGATTTGATATTGTAATGAAATATTAAAAAATGAAAGAAAAAAAAGCGTTATACAAAGCATTTAGATAGGCTGCTCTCTTTCTTTTCTTACCCCCCCACCCCCCAATCTTTCCTTCTTTTCTGGATGTATTCTGAACTTATTAAAACTTTAATTATTATTAATTTAAAATTTGAATTTTTTATAAAGTTAGCAACAATCATGGACCTTGTGCAACCTGAAACACGAAACTTTTTTTGGAGGGAGAAGGACCAAGGAGGTCTTTTGGAAGCCACTTCTCAGTACAGAGTGGGGTTGTAGCATGGCTTCTTCATGCACAGGAGGCTCTGGGGTCATGCCCAGCATATTTCTAGCTGGCTCCTGATCTGGAGCAGGTCATCTGCAAAGCCAGGAAAGGACCATCTGCCTGCTGTCCTGGACAAAAGGTACCTCCCCCCCAGGAGCTCCCTCTCAATCCATGCTACAGTGGTGTCAAGCAACCCTCTTGACTCCTTATGAGCCCAGAGTTTTATGTCACCTAAATTTATTATTATTTGGGGAGAACCTAAATTTTGTGTGCATTCAACTTTTTACTGTGTGCACCAGCACAAACCTTAAAGGGAACACAGGTGGAGACCCTTGCTTATAATAGATATGATACATAATATTTTTGTAACAGACTTATATGTGAATTCACAAAGTATTTTCCCAGAATTCTGTACACAGAAGTTTTATATGGAGATTTCATTTCCAGTAAATGTAAGCACAAGTTTTTAAGTATATCTAAAGATTTATTCCAATTATAATTTTGAGCAGTCAATTGTTGGCATAATTTAAAATACATATCAATGATAGATAACCCCAGTTATTTAGGATGAGCAAGCTTATTCAGTATATTGCTATAATCTTATGAAATCCCTTCATATATCAGAAATAAAATTATCTACTGCCCTAAAATATGTGCCAATACAGAATAAATTCACCCATTTTCTAACTGTCCCAAAAAAATGTGTTTGTAGGGCACAACTCAAAAGAAGTATTAGAGGGATGACAGTTAATATAGGCACAGGATAGCTTTAGTATAAATCTTTTAGAACTGCAGAGTAATTTGGGTACTTAATTAGTAGAGAATAAACTCCCTTCCTTGTCTGTTAGTGGACAACAGTAGAAACTCCTGATATAAGTTGGTTACAGGCATCTTATTCAATTTATTGAGATCCACATCCATTTTGAATTAAACAGTAACTCTCTCCCTTCATAGGGGCTTCATTTGTATCTCCAAACTTATACTGTAATGCATCTAAGTATAAAGAATGAAAATAGCAGGACTGCATCCACGCTTCAGTCTCTGAAAATGAAGTCTATAATTGTCCCAATTTATATACAAGCCAGTTAAGACTCCTCTAAACCTTGGGACCAAAGAGGATGACAGCTATATTTTTCTCCTTCACTCAAGCTAGCAAATGATTGTTGCATTCTCTGCTTATGTTCTAGGTAGCTACTGATTCAAACAGCTGAAAAAAGGAACAAAATTTTAGTTCATTTAACAGAATGTATATGGGAAGGGTAAATAAAGATTTGCAGTAAAACCAAGTTTGAGAGGGGGAGGGAAGGATTTTTTTTTTTTTAATTAAAGACCCTCTAAGAAGCAGTCAGAAATATGAGAAATGGAGCTCTTTACTTTCAGCCAACCACACTCAGATTCTACATCTGCTTATCATGCTGACATTGCTTTCTAAAATCTTTGTGTGTGTGTATGTGTGTTTTTAGTTTCCAACTCTGCTTTTTTATTTTTTAAAATATTTTATATTTTGTCTACCTTGACATTCTACCAAGGGGGTGAGGAAATCCATTAAAAAACCTGTCTGCTTAGCATAATTACATTTGGAATAGTATAAACTTGTTATAGAGCTAATTGGTTAAAACATATATATTTGGATATTATTTGATAATGGATTGGGCTA